GGGCACTTGATGATACACATAATTCCGATGTGTAATTAAAGAGAAGATATATTTCTAAAAAAGAGACGATTGGACGAAAAGATAACTCATACATATATATATATATATATATATATATACACTAGTACAATACCCGTGTATTACACCGGTGCTTGTTAAAAAATTATTTTTAAATTTTAAAATTCATGAAAAAATTATATTAAATTTAGTTTACTTTTTTTAAAAAAAAATATATATTACTATATATTTTAGAATGATATGTGTTACTTATGACTTACATGTGTTATATTATATTAGTTTTTATAACTTATATCATATAACTACTTGAAATATAAATATATTAGTTGATAAATAATTTTATTTTTCTAATTAATATTAAAAATAATTTTATTATTGTTATAAAGATAAATATAAATTATTTTTTTTATACATACAATATGGATATTAAATCGAAGCTTATCAAAAGAAGATTAATTTGATATATTACATATGTAAAACTGATAAAAAATACAAAAGTTATTAACTTTTAAAATATATATACAATTCAATAGTTATAATAAGGAATGATATTAAAATACAATTAATACATGTAACATGACCATAAATAATCAACATATTTATGGCAATCCGAACCTAATTATTTTTGGTTTGGAATTAAATTAAAATCTACCCAAGCCTAATAACGAAGCATGTAATTTTGCCACATAGGATTCCGAAGCACCAGAAGCAGCCACGTAGGCTCAGCGCATTCTGTATTAATATATAGGGGGGGATATATATATATATATATAGGGGGAGGATTCAATGAGTCCGCTCCTTAAAATGAGTCCACTCCTTAAAATGAGTCAATTTCTTAAAATATATATTAATTAAATAATAAAATAATTATTAATTGACTCCGGCGTTGACCGTTGACTTCCGGTGAAAAATCGTTGACTTTTGCCGTTGACCGTTGACTTCCTGCGTTGACTCCGACGTTGACTGTTGACTTCCGGCGTTGACCCGTTGACCCCTAGTATGCATTATATGTATGAAATAAATATGCATCCAATACCATACATTCAATATGAACTAAATATGCACCAATAATATCAATTAAGTATGCACCTGTTATGAACTAAATATGCATTTGTTATGAACTAAATATGCATTATGAATGAACTAAATATGCAGCGAAAAATATGCAATAAAATGTGCATTTCATATAGGTAATTTATATGCATATTTAGTTAATTTTTTATGAATATTTAGGTAATTTATGATGCATATTTAGTTAATACGAAATGCATATTTGTTATATTTAAGTTCAATATATAATAATATTTATATAATTAATTATTATGCATATTTACTTAATTCATGATACATATTTTAGTTTTTACGAAATGCATATTTAGTTCATGAACAGTGCATACCTATTTTATTTGAGATCCAATCATAACAATTTATTTGTGTTATTAATCAATTTAAAATTAAAATTAATTATATAATAAAAATTATTTGTGTTATTAACTAAATATGCATCTGTTATGAACTAAATATGCAGTGAAAAAATATGCAATAAAATGTACATTTTATATAGTTAATTTATTATGCATATTTAGTTAATTTATTGTGAATATTTAGGTAATTTCTGATGCATGTTTAGTTACTACAAAATGCATACTTGTTATATTTAAATTAAATATATAATGATATTTATATAGTTAATTTATGATGCATATTATTTAGTTTATTCATGATACATATTTAGTTCTTACGAA